GAGTGATTTCTCAAATTTGGATTGTAGGTTTAAGAGTAAGGACTTCCTTGTGGTCTGTGCTGCATATTATTCATATAATTGACTGTCTTCAAGGTGTAAGGGCATTGATTAGAGCGATGTTCCTCATTATAGTGGTCACAAGTATAACCTGGAGCCTGAAGTGCATGAACTCCTACAGCATCGCCCTTCTTAATTTGCAGTTCCAAATTGTTAAATCTTTTGGAGATCGTTTCAAGTTGCGATGCAATATCTCTAGATGATGAGGAACTCGGCTCCTTATGTCTTCTAGACTCTTGCCTCCTCTTGTAATACTGTTGCATCGTACTAGAAGCCACATCTTTATACAATTGATATAGCTCATTGAATTTCATCTTTCCAATTCTACCATTTGAAGCTGTGTTAAGCATAGTCATCATCTAGTCATTCAACCCATTACAGAAAGCTTCCATTAGAACATATTTCTTTTGCTCATGATTCAGACAATTTCTCCATATATCCTTGAATCTCTCCCAAGCCTCATAGAATAACTCATCTGGATGCTACTCAAAGGAAAGTAATTCACCCCTTAGTGTAACTCGTTTACCTATTAGAATAAATCTAGTCTTGAACTTTGCCATCAGCTCATCCCAAGTCTTAATCGAGTATTCCGGCAAGGAATTCAACTATGCTTTTGCCTTGTGAGATAAAGACATGAGGAACAATCTCAGCCTTAGAGCATCTTTAGTAACTCTATTTTGCTTGAAGTTCTCATGCACTTCCACAAACCTGGTCAAGTGCTCATTAGGATCATCATTGAAATTTCCTTCAAAAGTACCAATCATCCCCAGTAGTTGAATCATAACTGGCTTGATTTCAAAATTCCTAGCTTGAATGTCTAGTAACCGGATACTTGAGTGAAAAGTCTACCCCTCCTTATCCAAATAGTCATCCAGAGTGTACAAATCATTTTTATCCTGTTCTGCCATGTTTTCTTGTGGTTCTGGTTCAGGTGGTGGTGGTAGAAGTAGTTGGGGTCAATGCCGAACCTCCGGTATGTTCTCAGTTTCTCTTGAACTAGATCCTTCTTTAGTAACCTCTTCTAAGATATAGTCAAGATTTCCTTGCATGCATCAGGAGGTACCTGCGAAGTCAAATCAAACACAAGAGTATCAAACTTATCAAATGAAATGAACAAAATAAATACTACCATTATATCTATAATTATCCCTACAAATGCTAAAAGAAAACTTAAGCGTAACCAATCACACAATCAAGACAATTAACCATAAACAATCTTGTCGTGAGTCCCCGATAACTGCGCCAAAAACTTGTTCGCCGATTAGCTTAACCATAAATGGACGGATCGCAAGTAATATAAAAAGTATCGTTCCCTTAGAAACTAAGGCTAGATGAGTTAAAAATCATAATTGTGTTCTTGATTAGTTTAAGTGAAACAAAAGTTGCAAGGGGTTTTATGAAATAAAAATAGGAAAACAATTATTTAAATCAATCTGAGATCAACTTGACTTTAAGACAAATAAGGGACTAGGGTTATTTTTCACTAAAATACTTCATAAAACTGGAGTAATCACTTCTCAAGTAGTAGTTAACTATAAGTTTAGTTAGCCAGGGTTCGCAGAATTGGTTAAACTTTCTCAAGTCAAAACCAAATTTTTGCAATCGTAGTAAAACATAGCAATCTTTTGCATTTGTTTGGAAAGGTTGCACTTTGAAAACCAAAACCCCTTTTAGGCTATGCTAGGTTAACAAATACATCTCTGTTCTATCAATAAATCATCTATTTACTAAGTTAAATTTTCAGACTGGCATGTTTTTACCAAAGTTTACAGATTAATTTAATTTTCTCAAGTTTAAACTAATCAAATAATCAATCCAAATGATGGCCAGACACAAGGAAGCATTAAGCTCAAGGTAAAAACAACTAAACACTATCATTAACACTAAAGAGATAGTTAAACCAAGTCTTAATCCATACAATAGATCAAAATAACCCTAGAAAAATTGATTTAGCTATACATGTTTAGTAAAAAGCTACAACTATAAGATAGCTAGTAGTCATTACAGAAACAAAAAGGGAAGAAGATGAAAACCCCAAAAAATTGAGGAAAAAAAAGCTTTAAATATCTTCTAGCTTCGAGCCGAAAGATCCTAAGCCTCCAAAACTCCAAACCCTAGCAGAGCAAGCCTCCAAAATCGCCCCAAAGTCAAAATGTCTCCAGAAAACATGAGTTCCCCCATGTATAACCCCTAATTTTTAAGTTACAGCTCAAAATACACAGCTGTGAGGGGCCAGACGCTGCGACAGATGTGGTCATCCGCTGCGGCGGATATCACAGAATGGGGTTTCTCAAAAAGGGTTGGACATCATAGCAGATGTGATTAGGTACTGCAATGAATTACACATAATTGTACTCCTTGGGACAGATAGGGGCGCCATGGTGGATGTGATTAGGCGCCATGGTGCCTTACACAAAATTGCTTCTCTTGATTTCTGTTTGAGCCACCGTGGCATTTGACTTCATGCGCCACGGCGGTTTGTCCTTTTTTAAGCTCTTCCACTAGTAATCTCTCTTCCTTGCTTGCTTTGGGCTTTTTCCTGCACAAGTAACTTCCAAAACATATAAAAGGATGCTAAAACAAGCTGAATAAGTCAGAATTTTGAGAGGTTATCATTCGCGGGGGGATCACCAGATTTCCACTGCATTGGCCTCCAGTGGCCCATGATCGTGCGCGCGAGATCCTCCTTCTCCTCTAGGCCCATTCACTAGCCCTAGTATTTATGGACTTGTGCTTTCACTCTCTTGAGCAATGTGAGACTTGTTCTCTTGACACACCCGCACAATTTCCAGCAGAGAGAAATGCTTGCAGGATTGATAAAGTGAAGGAGATAAGGAGAAGGAGACGACTTAATGAGGGGATTGTTGTCTTCTTCATTCTACCTTTAACTACTTCTAATACTTTGGCTATGTGACTTCTTTGCTCTTTGTAGGCTATCATGAAAATGGAAAATTGGCTAAGGCTTTTCCAGGGTGACACTGCCTTTTACTCTTCCTCTACATAGCAGGAGTCTGGGAAGTGGCAGGCTATCCATGGCTCACACCTTTTTCTTTTTTTTTAGCTGAATCCATGGCTTACACTTAAAAACGAAGACTAATAAGTCCTTATGCAAGAACGATGAATAATTTGTTTCTGTTCGCTTGATAGAAGCCGGATAAATTTTTATTAAAAATAGCTTGTGTAGAGTAATCTATAAGTCTGGAGCCACTAATAAGTCGTCTTAGGAGGTGACTTGGTGGAAGAATTGTCATACATATTGACATTGATACAAGGGTGATTTGACTATTAGTCCATATTGCATGACTTTCTGGATTAGCGGTGAACAACTGTGATTTTATATGATTATAATTTTTATAAGTGACGCTAGTTAAAAGTGATATTAGTTAATTGTGATTTCTGTTTGGGTTCTTTTATAAGTGACATTAAGAATGTGGATTATGTTTAGATTTTATTTATTAAAATAACTTATAAATATATAATTACCAAAAAGCAATAAGCGTATATAACAGAAATATAATTTAATATAATTATTATAATTAATTATTATTTAAATATAATTTTAATTTAATAATCATTATTAATAAGGGTAGATAGAGGATATCCTAGTTGCTGAATCTCTATCCTGATTTTCAATGGCAAAAGCTACTTTCAGTAGCTTATGCTCAAATGTGCGATTGGGACTGAAATTACGATTTATCAGAATTTCAAATACTTTAGCCAAATGGGATAAATAGGCTTTATAATCACTTATTTGAATTTGAAAGGACTTATTTAAACTTTGACCACTTAACCAAATATTTACACACGAGTCCCTTGACATGTATCCATATAGTCAATAAAATTTGAAGGACTTATTGTATTAAATTTTTTAAAAGAGAATTATTTGTAATTTTGAGGGATTTATTTGTAATTTTTCTTCAATCACTAATGTTCATGATTCGTATTAAGAAAATTAAATTTTTTTTGGCCAAAATATTGCAAGAATATAAGTTTTAAAAATAGAAACGTCACCATGGGTAAATATTTGAATAGTCTCTCGTGACTTTCCAGCATCATGTGATGTGATGACTTAATTTCTTAGTTATCTTAATTATTACCTAGAAAATTCGTACAAGTCATTAGGAGACCCAAGAGCTATTCAACACATTTTTGGTGAAAGGAAAATGAAATTATGAAGCTTTTGTTTTCTTCCCGTTTACTACGGGTTGCTGAATACTAACATATAATTTGGTGTCTCTATCTAGTTTTGAAATTTCCTAGTCTTCCCCTAGTTTATAGACTTCTGCCACATTAAAGTGTGCGTGGGAGTCACACAAACTTCCATAAATTGCATTGTCATACCTTTTGACAAATTGCTATTGCATCCTTGAACAATTTGAAATTGAGTAAATGCGAATGAGAAAACAACGAGAGGAGCCACATGGCTGTCGTGTACTACCAGTTGCTTCTTCCTTTATAATTTTTTCCTGATGGAATTCTCATTCCTCCTCCGTCCTTTTCAAACTCCAATCAGTGCCCCTCCCTTTGGTCAATATCCTCCAAAATACGCCATTGACGTACCCAACATGACCTCTCTTTCCTTCTTCTTCATCTTCGTCCTCTCCACTTCCAAGCATATAATTCCTTCCAATCCATCTTAACAAGGGATGCGTCAACGTAATAATCTCCTTGTTCCTTTAATCACCTTCGTCTTCTGGTCATGGTGGACGCTTATTAACGGCGCCATTTCGGAGCCACAGACCAATCTTCTAAGCGCAGGCTGCTCTCCATATATTAACCAATTCGCTGTGACTAACTTCTCCGTCTTCAGTGAAAACGTCAACAAAACGTTCCGACACATCAGCAAGCAGATTGTGGATAACAGTAAGCACTTTGCCACGGCGCAGCAAGCCAGCACAGAAAACTCGGTTATCGCCCTTTTTCAGTGCAGAAACTACATCTCCATTCATCACTGTGTTGTCCGCTTCGACGCCGCCACCAAACAAGTCCGCGAATGCGCTGCCGAAACACAAGGTGGCAGCGCCGTCTACGACGGCTGCTTCCTCAGGTACAACTAGTCCGCAAGTTCTTCTTATACAATCCTTGTTTATTTTTTTCCAGCCACCAAGTTTGAAGTCTGACCTTTTGATTTTAGTTGTTTATAATCTTACTTTTGCTTATGGAGGATGCCTTTTTCTTTTCTGAATTGTATATATCATAGAGATAATGCATTAAATTAATTGCTAGCATTATCATAGTGTTGACATTGGTTAATTAAGCTGTAGCAATAGAGACCCCACCAAAAAAAGAAAAAAAAAAAAAAAACAGCGAGTCATGGCCCAAGGAGCAGGATTTGGTTTGGATATCACATGTCAGTAGAGAGGTCCAGTCACAGACTTTGATATAACAAAGGCCGAAAAAGAGTTGAGAGACAAAGGGGAAAATAAACTTTGATTAATTTTTATATAATGTTTGATATTGATACGAGTGCGATCTGACTATTAGTCGATAACTCATCAAAGTTTGGCTGGTTAAAAGGTTTGGTCTAAATTTTGGCCCAAAAAAAAAAAGGTTTGGTCTAAATAATATTTCGATCTATTTAGGACATAAGGAAAATAAAATAAAATAAAAAGGCTGAAAATTACTAAATATTAAATAAAGAATGTCAACAAAAATTTATTTATATTTACAAATTTAGTGTTTTCAATACCAAATAAAATATTGTTTTGATTTGAGATTTGGCGATTTTTAATTTTTTTAATCATTTTTCAAAAAAAAAAAAGTAGTCCTGTAACATTTATCCATGTATAGTCAATGAAATTTGAAGGATTAATTGGTATTAAATTTTTTGAAGGAAAATTATTTTTACTTTTGAGGGACTTATTTGTAACTTTTCTTCCATAGCCAATGTTCATGATTTATATTAAAAAATTAAAAAAAATTTCGCCAAAATATTAAAAAATAATGAAACTATAAGTTTTAAAAATAGAAACCTCGTCATGGATAAATATTTGAGTAAACTCTGATGACTTTCCAGCATCATGTGATGTGATGGCGTAATTTCTTAATTATCTTAATTATTATTAGCCAGAAAATTCGTACAAGTCATTGGGAGACCGAAGAGCTAGTCAACACATTTTTGGTGAAAGGAAAATGAAATTACGAAGGCTTTTGTTTTCTTTCCGTTTAACTATGGGCTGCTGAATACTAAAGTATAATGTTGGTGTCTTTATCTAGTTTTGAAATTTCCTAGTCTTCCCCTAATTTCTAGACTTCTGCCCCATTAAAGTGTGCGCGGGGGTCACACAAACTTCCAGAAATTGCATCTTCATCCCTTTTGACAAATTGCTATTGCATCCTTCAAAAATTTGAAAATTGAGTAAATGCAAATAAGAAAACAACAAGAGAAGTCGCATGGCTGTCGTATGCTACCGGTTGCTTTTTCCTTATAATTTTTTGGAAAAATTAATCTGCTGATCCTTGTAGTTTTGATATATTTATAACTCAATTCTTATATTTTGATTCGGGACAACTTAGTTCTTATAGTTTTGATTCGATTATAATTCAGTCCTTAAAATCTGACTTGTGACAACTTGATTTTTGTAGTTTTAGTCATTTTGAAATTTAGTTCTTATGTTTTTAAAAAATGAAATTATCTATTTACTAAAAAGAAGGATTAAATTATAAAATGTTAAAAGTATAAAGACCGAGTTACAGCTAGTCAAACTTTAAGAACTGAGTTATAACCGAGTAAAACTATAGGAACTGAGTTATACCAAACCAAAGTATAAGGAATCAAAGTATAAGGCTTAAATTACATATAAGTAAAAATTATAGAGACCAAAAAGATTAATTTTTTCTAATTTTTTTCCTGATGGAATTCTCATTCCTCCTCCTACATTTTCAAACTCCAATCAGTACCCCTTCCTTTGGTCAATATCCTCCAAAATACGCCATTTACGTAGACCAACATGACCTCTCTTTCTTTCTTCTTCATCGTCGTTCTCTCCATTTCCGAGCATATGATTCCTTCCAATCCATCTTAACAAGAGATGCTTCAACCTAATAAACCCCTTATTCCTTTAATCACCTTCATCTTTTGGTCATCGTGGACGCTTATTAACGGCGCCGTTTCGGAGCCACAGGCCAATCTTCTAAGCACAGGCTGCTCTCCATCTATTAACCAATTCGTTGTGACCAACTTCTCCATCTTCAGTGAAAACGTCAACAGAACGTTCCGACACATCAGAGAGCAGATTTCGAATAACAGTAAGCACTTTGCGACGGCGCAGCGAGCCAGCGTAGAAAACTCCGTTTTCGCTCTTTTTCAGTGCAGAAACTACATCTCCATTCATCACTGTGTTGTCTGCTTCGACGCCGCCGCCAAACAAGTCCGCGAATGCGCTAACGAAACACAAGGTGGCAGCGCCGTCTACGACGGCTGCTTCCTCAGGTACAACTAGTCCGCAAGTTCTTCTTATTCAATCCTTGTTTATTTTTTTTCCAGCCACCAAGTTTGAAGTCTGACCTTTTGATTTTAGTTGTTTATTATCTTACTTTTGCTTATGGAGGATGCCTTTTTCTTTTCTGAATTGTATATATCATAGAGATAATGCATTAAATTAATTGCTTATCATAGTGTTGACATTGGTTAATTAAGCTGTAGCAATAGAGACCCCACCAAAAAAAAGAAAAAAAAAAAAAAAACAGCGAGTCATGGCCCAAGGAGCAGGATTTGGTTTGGATATCACATGTCAGTAGAGAGGTCCGGTCACAGACTTTGATATAACAAAGGCCGAAAAAGAGTTGAGAGACAAAGGGGAAAATAAACTTTGATTAAGTTTTATATAATGTTTGATGCCATAATTAATATATGTGTTGGCAAAAAAATGTATGTGTGTGTATATATTTATATAAAAATAAAATTGATAACCGTTTATTTGTAAATTTTGATTATATTTAAGTTGTCTTTCTATTTCAATCAAAACTTTTGAAATTTATGTATGTAAAAATCAGTTGATTCTAATTAACAACTCCTTTGTAAAGGGAAAAAAAATAGAGAAAAACATATGCTTGTCAGACTTCCTCAATTATTTTTATCATTCCATAAGTTTAACTTATTACTTGTTATTCTATTATTGATCTATCATTGTTACTGATATCCGGTAGGAAATTTTTATGAAATTAGTTGTCGTCACTGTCTTAATTATTATTGTCATTTGATGAATTAAAGTTATGAAGTACGAAAAAATTATTTTGCAGGTATCAATACTTTTTTTGAATTTTTAATTTGGTGCATATATATTTTTCTCTTTTGATTAAATCCTTTAATTTTACTATGTGAACAGAGCAAAGTTAAGGCCATTTCAATTTCTTGTTTTCTCATATTTCAAATTAAGGTCATTTAAGTGATTTCATTATAAATTTTAATTTCAATGATTAGGCCATTTCGGATTTTGAATTAGAATTTGAATAGCTGGGGAGTATTTTTATATCTTGCACTAATTATAAGTTAATAGGTACATTTTGAGACAGCTTAATTAGAGCAAAACTCATATTGAACTTGGAAAAATGATACGATCTATCCTTTTGAGTATTGATCAGGTACGACACCAAGGCTTTCTTTGACCAAACAACGGAGGATTTTAATGCCGCATCATGTGGAAATCAAACTGTAGCAGAATCCTCTACATTATTTACCTCACTTGTGCAAAAAGTGCTACGGAATCTCCAAATAACAACACCCAAAAAGCAAGGATTTGTCATGGCGACAAAAGCACATTTGCCTGCGAATAATAATGGTGCATTAACTATTTATGGCTTTGCTCAGGGTACTCAAACAATCACACAGAGAGGGTGCGACGATTGCTTGAAGGCTTGTTATAGTAATATGCAGATTTGTCTTCCCAATTCGGATGGTAAGGCTTTTGCTGGTGGGTGCTTCATGAGATACTCCACCACTTCCTTCTTTCCTGATAACTACCAGACGATTGATATCACCCCCTTGGAGAAACAAGGTATAGTTCACTATTGGATCAAGGATTACGCACAATTTAGGGAAAAATGGTTATGACACACCTAAAAAATCTGACAAGTAATCAGCACATAGATATTATTGTCAATTATTATACTGAAACTTGTCATTTCAGACTACTCATTTGTTGTAAGACTTTTTTAATTATTACAAGTTCTAACGAATCTGGACATAGCAACCCCAAGAGTCACTGGTTTTTATGCAGCCACTAAGACGCCTGTGCCTAACAGTAATGGCTCACACATTTATGCCATTGCTCGATGTATTGAGACTCTCACACAAGTTGGCTGCCAGGATTGCCTCAACATTGCCTTAAGAAATTTCCCGATATGTCTTCCCAATTAAAATGCTAAGACTTATGATGCTGGTTGTTTCACGAGATACTCCACCACAGCCTTCTTTGCTGATAATCAAACCATTAATATTAATCCCTTCTTGAAAGAAGGTACACACACACTCACTCTCTTATAAAAGCTTGGAATTACTTTTCCAGTGAGATTGACTTGTGTCTGTGTCTGAGTGTGTGCTTATTTTCTTTTTCTTGTGACTTGCAGGGGGAGGTTCAAGGAAGAAAAAGGCCATTACTGGGGGAGTGGTTGGAGGTGGATCTTTTCTTTTGATTCTCCTCGCATTATTTGCTTTGTACAGACGATCAACGTCGTCGAAGAGGATTCATAGAGGTAAAAGGCAAATTGGAAAGACTTTAGTATTCAATTGGAGATCCATGATTTGACGCCATATATATGCTTTGTTTTTCAGCGATATATATAGTTTTCTCCAAAGGAAAATGCTATGTAGAGTATGAAAGATGAATCTCTTGCTGATTATATTTATTGGGAGACTTATTGTAATGATTTATTAATGTGGTGCTTTTGCCACTTTTTCTCTTCAAATTAAAGAAAACGTTGTGGACTTTAATTCATTCTATGAAGAAAGGAATCGCTAACTGCTTTTTCTTGATTTATGAAGCAACTTGATAAATGTTTTCCTTGACAGGAGACATAGATGGACTAAGTAAGTTGAAAGGCCTGATTAATTTTAGCTATAGGGAGTTGAAGTTTGCTACTAAAGGTTTCAGTGCAAAAAATAAGATTGGAGAAGGAGGATTTGGTGCTGTATATAAGGTAACTGTAGATTGAGTTTCAATATTTATCTATATCATGTTTCAAAGCAAGGATGAATATAATGCACTACTTTCGTTAGTGTTGTAAATAAGCAAAACTTATGGCAACGCCTTCGGGATTGACATTCTTAATCTTCATTCATAAGCAGGGTACCTTGGAGAATGGGAAAATAGTTGCTGTAAAGAAATTAAATTTGCACCAGTCTAAGAAGGTGGAAGAAGAATTTGAAAGTGAAGTAAAGCTTATTAGCAATATTCATCATCGGAATCTTATTCAACTTCTTGGATATTGTAGTGAAGGCAATGAGAGAATTCTTATTTATGAATATATGAAAAATACCAGTCTTGACAAATTCTTATTTGGTATATCTTATTCGCCAACAAAACTTATTTACAGTTCTTTAATCTTAAGCTATTGGATTTCTTTGTAAAATCATGACATGTGGACATATTTTCAACAAATATATCACCAATTTCTATGAAAACAATTCATTTGGTATGTCATGATTTCATTCAAGAACCCCCATCTCAATGTCTTGTTGTATAGTTTTTAATATAAACACTATTCTTTTTCCTCAACCCTTTAAAGTGCTTAAATTGTGAAATAGGTGAAAACAGAGGTTCTCTTGGTTGGGGGCAACGGTATGATATAATATTAGGAACAGCAAAAGGTTTGGCTTATCTACATGAAGAACTTCATGTGTGCATCATACATAGAGATATAAAGACCAACAACATTCTTTTAGATGATGACTTACATCCAAGAATTGCTGATTTTGGCTTAGCAAGGCTTTTACTAGAAGACAAATCAGATCTTTATACAAAATTTGCTGGAACATTGTAAGTCAACATAATAAAGAATTCATATTGACGACACACATGATGCAACATTTACATTGTATATGTCTATTTCATATTCAAAATATTGTTCTTGCATTAATTTAATCCATCATCACCTACAACATAAACACGATGTATGTTTACAGAGGATACGCTGCACCAGAATATGTAATTCATGGTCAATTATCAGAAAAAGTTGATATTTATAGCTACGGTGTCGTCATCCTAGAAATTATCAGTGGTGAAAAAAACAATAAATTGCAGATCCATGGTGATTTTGAAGGTGAATATCTCCTTAAAAAAGTAAGTATATGTCTATGATTTATAAACAAAATGGCAGTTTCATTTGAGAACATGAAGGACTAATTTAACCACCCACAGTTTTTCTTCTGATTCCATTTCCCTTTAATTCACTTTATAGGCTTGGAAACTATACGAGAGAGGCATGCACATAGAGTTGGCGGATGATACCCTGGGCCCTAATGATTATAATGTAGAAGAAGTGAAGAAAATCATAGAGATTGGTTTGCTTTGCAGCCAAGCATCTGCTGAATTAAGGCCATCAATGTCTGAAGTAATTGTTTTGCTTCAAGGCAATGACTTATTAGGGAATATGATGAAACCCACTATGCCTATCTTGATTGAAACTTAATTTTAGGGTTCCCTGTGACCCATCTCTACCATTACCGCTTCCTTTATACCAATTGGCACGGACTTCACATTTTTTACTATCAGCAGACTATATTGTTCAAGAATGTATGGTTATGGGTGACTTATAATTTTGAATCAAAAATGGAAAGAATAAGATAAAAGACCTCAGCTTGCGTCTGGTACAAAAACGTAACATCCCACCCTGCGTCCTCTTGTTCTGTCAAGAAATCATGTCTTTTTTACTTTTTGGCAATAAGACAATCATGTCTTTTTTTCTTTTTTTTTGGTAACAGACAATCATGTCTTTTGCTAAATAGAAGTTTGCGCCATTCAATAGTGAGAGCAACATTGCAAAGTTTTTATAACTTTGCACTATAGAAAAGTTTTAGTTATCAAATGCTCATGTATAACTGAAGGGAAAAAAATATGCTTTAATCCCAATAAAATTTTATTAAAATTTTAGAAGTTAATCACTACTACAAAAATATCTATTTTCATCTGTTTTGAAAATCAGGAAAAAAATTATTAATACTCATCTATTAAGACAAAACAAACAAGTATGAGCACTTATACTTATCTGTTACATCATAATAGACGAATATGAGCACTCATAATCATCTGTTGGCTTTGAAACAGATGAGTATGAGCTCATCATTCTTATAAAAAGTTTTCTGCAATGCCCTAGCTCATTCTCATGACACACACAGCGACGCCACGTGATCGAACAAAGCTTTTTCTCTCCTCCAATTCCTTGGCATCGCAAATCATTATTCTCCGTTCTCAGCATCAACTTCCTCCTCTTCTCTTCTCTTTTCTTCTCTTCTCTTTTCTTCATGTTGCATGAGACTGTCTCCCCATTCTCAACTCAGTGTGCCAGTCTTCTCCATTAGAAGCTTGCACACTATGATCTCTCCCCATTCTTAGCTTGCATGTGACGTGCAACACAACTCAGCTGGGTAAGTTATTTTACGTGTAGCTGTTATGTTGTATTGAAAGCTGAGTGATTATTTAGGTTGGGGGTGTTGAAAGCATTGAATCTAAATGTTGTGGGTGTTGAAAGTTTTTTGGTTTAAATTGATTGTTGGTAAAGAATTGAATTTAGGCAGCATTGAGTATTGATTGGGCAAAGCATTTAAAGATTGAAAGCTTGGTAAACTTGTTAAAGTATTAATGTACATAAGGTGTTACGAAAATATCTATGAGAGGAATTTGGTTGGAATAGGATAATGAATTAAGTATTCTCAAAATATTAAGGATTAAAACTTAAGATGAAGATTATTTAATCTTCATGTTGAATTTTACAAAGTTATCAACGCTATTTAAACATATAAATTACATATTAAGTTCAAGAAAAAGAGGATAGCGCCTTTAATTTTTGTTTAGTACAATCAGAAGAATGCCAGGATTATTAAAAAAAGAGCAAACATGTATTAATGTCATTAGACTATAAGGCTTCGGCCATATAAAAACAAGTTGCATATGAATATATTAATTTGAATATGGTACTGTGAACATTAATTGAGCTAGCGCAATATTTATTGGTGTTTAGTGAGTGTGAATCCATTATATTATGGATAATTATTATGTCTCTCTCATGATAAATAATATTGTGTTGTACACACACAAGTATGGTGAAAGATTACAATACTAGAGAGGACCATACATATATCTATGCTCATTGTTCCTCCATGTGAAACTCCCACAGAGACACAGACGCACATATACATCACAGACTTCACAACTTAGAAAGATGAGAGTAGGAAAGGAAGAGAGAGAGGAAAGTCATTGCTGAGAGAGAAGTTGTAACTGATGATGATAAAGCTTCATTGTTGTTTGAGACAAAGGAAGTCCATTGGAGAAGTTTACAAGCTATTTGCATGCATCATTCTTGCAGGTACACACACACACACACATATTCTTTTCTTCTACGCCATCTCTTAAATTGACAATATATATTTTACTGTGTTTTCCTTTTTTTTGTTTTTTTAATTTCACAACCTAAATTTAACTCTACTTCTTGCACCAAGATATTTATCTTTACTCGTATTTTTCCCCCCTTCTCTTCTGTAAAAATTAGCTTCTAAGATAGAGTAACGGGATCTTGCTTAATTCTTGTTGGTTATTTACAAGCTTTCTTACTTGACTTTTTATCTTTTATTTTATTAATGCATTTTGATTGTTATCCAACAAAATTGTTATTTTACTAATACTTAATAATTTATTTAATTTTTTCATGCTAGCTAGTTCGCATGTTTCTATTTCAGGTTCATTATATAAACTTGTGTTAGGATGTTTAATTAGGATGTTATTGTGGGGTGCTATATAAAATTGTTGTCATTGTTTTCATCCTTAAAATTGTAGATTAGTTGTATGGAAAGTGAAATGATTTAATTTTGTTCCACTGAATTGCTGTCATTGTTGTTGAACTACTGTCTGTTTTGGTTTTGCATGCTCTTTCTACAATTACAGGTTATATCAAAATTGACAATATAAATAATTCACACTTCATTTAAAAATAATAACAATAATATTTTCGTCTGTATTTTCGCTTATTCTAGGCATAACAGACGAAAATAGAGATCTTTTTTGTCTATTTTTAATAGATGAATAAATATCTACTATCTACGTCTCTTTTATCAATGTCTCTCCATAAATAGATGAATAAAAAGCTTCTAGAATAGACAAAAATGGATCTTTTTATAATAGTGAATGATAGATTATGTAACACTTCTTTTATATATGTGTGGGCGTAATACCTATTGAATACAAATATTAATTGCATAATGGTGAAGTAGAGGGTATATTATTAGTTATGAAAAATGAAGAACAACTTTAAAAACTTTTTAGGGTAAATTAATTACATAAAACTCAATTTCTATTTATAAATCCCTAACCCTGAAAACTCATAAATGTATTAATTAATTTTATAATTTTTTTCACATTTTCCCTCATTAAAAGAAATGGTGTTAAACATATATTTTATAGTTTCTCTCATCCATTTACTTTATTTCTCTCTACATTTATTAACTCAATAGGGGTAAAAAAATTTTGGCCTTGAATAGGGGTAAAATTGGAAAAGATTCATTAATTACCCTACAAGTGACTTATATTTAAAAACAAACTTTCTTCCTATAAGTGACTTATAAATAGGAATAGAATAATACTTTGTTGCGAATATAGTATTATGCATGTGTATATATATACTCCCTATTATCCTTTTTATAAGATTATTTTAACCAAATTACACGGTTTGATAAAATTGTTAATTGTTAAATTAGTTAAAACCAATAGATATATAAAAATTAATTTTTTTTCAATTATACTATTATTTAATGAGGGGGTAAATAAAAAAGAAAAATACTAGTAATAAGATAAATAATGAAAGTTAATGTAGTATGATTATATAAGGGAAAGATGGGGAAAGAGGATGAAAAATTAAAAAAGGGAAAAATTGATAAAAACTTATTTAACGTTGAGATAGCCCGAAATAGGATCTTATAAAAAGTGCCAAATCAATTTAAATTTTGAGATTAAAAATGGGGGACATGAGGGAGTGTGTGTCTATATATATATATATATATATATATATATATATATATGAAATGACTTTGAACCACAAAAAGTCAAAAGGAGACCATATTCATTGCAAATAATAGAAAGTACGCCGAGAAAAGTTTTTCTATCTCCGCCAACAACCACTAAATCAAGAGGGCGCGCCAATTAATAAATATGCTTGGTGGTTTTCAGTTTTAAAATTTGCATTCACCATTGTTTGCCTTGGAGGTATTCATGGGAAATGGAATTAAGACAACTCCATTCCAGTCCTCCCTGATAATTGGGATGGGACAGGGACTTGGATTATAACAACTCATGGCAAAAACTTTACAAAGAAAATGGATGAAAATTAGTTTAAAAATTGGAAGTGACGAAAAAATTGACCGAGGAAAAAGCTTTCTCTATGAAAGAGGGAAAATATATAAACTCAAAATATTCACCAACTAACAACATATAACTTATAAAAAAACTTATAAATTGTAAACAACAGTAATAATAAAAATTAGAGAAAATGATTAAAAAAAAGAAGCCTAAATATATGAAATGCCAATTAAGGTATCTAAGACTTCAAAATGATAAAAAGGGAAGTATCTTAATGTTATTTTTCCGATCATGTCATTTCAACAATTTTTCCTTGAGTTTTATGCACATTTAGATGTATTTGTGCATATTTTGGCTTTTATCTTTGTTATTTTTGAGCTCATAAAATTTGTTATCTTTTTAGGGTTATTTTGGATTAAGAATTAAAGTTTCAAGCCATTTGAAAGTGCTTTGGGAGGATCTAAAGATCAAGCTTTTTTAGGAATTATATTATTGTCGTCAAAGAAGAACAAATAGAGGCCAAATCATAGGTGGAGCTCTTTATTTGAGTTAGAAGAACGAAATTTTTCAAAGGCAAAATGTGTTGCGGCACACTCTAACCTAGTTATGGCCCAACTAAAATAAAGGCAAACCCAAAACAGCTCAAGGTTTGTAAGCCATAGCACATTTGCTGACAGCAAAATGCACAGTAGGATCAAGTAAAAAATTTCTATATTTTAAAGCCCCAAACTCATTATTGGCCATTATTATTCACTTTTGAGTGGTTCTTGAGAGTATTTGGTTGTGCTAGGATTTGCTTCTTATAGGGGATTGACCTAAAAGTTACAGTTTTGAAGGGATTTGGGCTTCTTTCCTTGGTTTTTCCTCTCCACTTGCTTTCTTTACTCTTATTCCACGTGTGCGTATGTAATATATTTTCATGGGTTTGTTGAGTATATGTGGCTAAATATTTTGATTCTAGGATTATTTTAAACTTTTATATGGATTAAGTACTCATTTTCCCTATACATTTGTGATTGATGATATGATTGTGTTGGTTTTACTCCATGCTTAATGCTTCTTGTTGATTGGCCACCTATAAGATTATTGGGTCCACTTGATTGATCCTTAAGAGGGCTAAGTTGAGTATAGAACTTGAGTTTAATCTTGTGACTAACTCAAAATTTTCTTGTTGAATGGATGATTTTGTTAATGAGATAAAGTTATATTTATTAACATCACATAGTTATATAAGGTTTGCAATAAAAATTAGGGCTTAATTAATTAATGAAGAGATTAAGAAATTAATTGAGCTAAACACCTATTTGGAGATTTGAGAGAGCACCTATAGGTGCTAGGATAATATTTGATTAAGAAGCAAGTATAATAAGGGGTTTGGTTGAGTGTTTATGAAATACAAAGGGGATAAATAATTCTAGATCCCTTTGAATGAATCCTGGAGTTGAAGAATTACCTTTTTTTTTTTGGTTAATTTCTAATTTTAAAAATATTTCTTTTTATCCTCGGTATCTGTTTCACCAAATTAAACAAAAATGTGATAGTTAATACTTGACTGGTTTTGAAACTAAATCTTCGTGAGAATAACACTTTACTCGTCACTTTATTATTCATCTATGATTATAAGGGAGAATTAGTCAGGAGGACCTAGAAAAAAAATTTTATTCGAACGGATCTTAAAACTTATAATTATTTAGTAGGACCAAATATTGAAATATAAAATTAACGATACAAAATTACCCCCTCAGCCCACGTTCTCTCCTCCGTCTTCCTCTCTCTCATTGCCATTTCCATATACAGCGACGAAGCCTTTCCAGGTGAAATCATCTTTTGCTGGCAGATGGATTAAGGCAAAAATGGTGTCCGAATTAATTTAATTAGAGAAAGTTAAGACGATGGTATTGAAAACATTAACCAAGTAGAACAAATAAAACGAAAAGTTTATTTCAAGGATTAAGGCAAAAATCTTATCGAAATTTGGATCGCTTCGGGAAGGTAGAGATGATCTCATGTTGGTTGTTAAGCTAGCAAGTCAGTTCCACCCTTTTCAATGACACCATGAGTTTCATCTGTGATTTGCATTGATAGAGAAGATGCGCACAGGGGTACACAGAGAAAGAGAGGGAGGGAGGAAACCGTTTGACACTAATCGCGGGTGAGAGAGAATGAATGGGGTTTGTTGAGGGGGTAATTTGGTATTTTCAAATGTTTATTTTAGGAAAAACAACATCTAAGAAAAAAAAATACTAGTAACTAAAGATAAGGAAAGCGAAGGTTTTATTCCTTCACTTTTTTTTTTTCAAAAACCATACTATGATTACATCATTTATATATATTTTTTACTAACTATATGTATCCTCCGGCCAAATACTTTCAACTTTCAAGTACTAAATATGAACATATTTTTTTAGTAAGAATTTATTTACTTTTTCTACTAAATTCAATTGTACTGTCTTGGTTATATCATTTATATTATGTATAATAAAAATAATTTGAATTAACATAATTAATTTTTTAGAATGAAATTTGTTCACTATAAGTATACTCTCTGAATTTAGTTTTGAAAAAAATCACAAAAAAAGTATCTGAAAATTAAAAAATTACATGCAGGAATCTGTTCACACAAATTTGTGTGATTTGCTTATTACGAAAACTAATACCACTGTTGTAAACGTCTCATGTACAATTTTTTGTAATTTTTCCTTTGGTTTTTTTTTTTGACCAAGGAATTTTTCCTTTAGTTTTTATCCATGCACTTAAAATTAAAAAATATAAATAACATGATATTTGAGAATTTGTGATGATCTTTTATGACCTTTTTATTGCCACCTGGCTGTTCATTTATGGGCCGAACTTAGAGTTGGTGACTTTTCTGTGCCAGTCAATGTTGGAAATTTCCAAGTCTTCCGCCACTTTTGAAAAGGCGGTGCGCCTTAAGTTGAAGGCAAGGTGCCACAAAATCTATACGCTTGTCGGTCCCAAAACTTTGACCATCACCCCCTCACAAGTTGGTGTTGCGTCCTTCAAGAATGTTTAAATTCAAGAAACATGCTAAGCAGCAGCTTCATCCCACTGATGGTATGTGCAGAACGTGCATGAACCATCTTTGAACCAGTCTCAAACAAAAAGATGCTTCAAGGTCCTAATAATCTCTCTCTTCTCTTAGCGACCTTCTTCATATTCTGGTCAAGCTGGACTCTAAGCGGCGTCGTTTCAGATCCACAGACCCACCTTCTGCACAGTGGATGCAGCCCGTCCTACGAATACGTCCTGTCCAACTTCTCGACGTTCAACGAAAACCTCAACACAACGTTTAGAGAAATCCGAGGGCAAATCGTGATTCAGAAGTCAGAACAAGTACTTCGCGACGGCTCAGCAGGGCGGCAGAAATAACCCAGTTTCCACTCTTTTTCAGTGCAGAAATTACCTCTTCATCCTCGACTGTGCCGCCTGCTTCGACGTCGCTTCTGTTCAGATCCGCAACTGCTCCGGCGGAGCACACGTTCCCCGTGTCGTCGACGACGGCTGTCACCTCAGGTACAAGATAAGACAAACCCACCTGATTCAATTTTGACTTCCCTGTTGAAATAGTGTAAGCTTAGGCCTTAGATATGAGATATTTATTGCGTGATCATCCAGTAGCTTGTGACTTTGCGTTGCGAGGTGTACGACCGTGTTTTCTTTTTTGTTTTGTCTTTATTTGCATTGATTAATTAAGCAGTAGAGACGGAGGAGAAATAAAACTTTAGTTAAGTATGATTACTTAAAGTAGATAATAATATGAAATTAAAGTCTGATAACAATAGATTTAGGGAGAATCCCAAAAAAATATTATTGAATTTTAAAATTCCAAATCAGTTTTATTTATTATATTTTAATAATAATTAATAACATCTAAAAAGTATATGAAAACACATTTTTGTATTCATTCTTGATTTGAGATTTCAAAATTTTAGAGGTATTTGTTTGAGATTTTTTCATAGAGTTGCACATTATCATTTTAATGATGAGGTAATAATTTGATTCATTAATTTTCTTTTAAAAATTTGTTTACATATTTTTTAGCGTTTATTAGCATTTCATATGAAAAATATTTATAACTTGCAAGATTTTATTCATATAATTGATGAAATAAAAAGTTGATTATTTCCCAGACAAATAATTTAATTGACAAGATTTTAAGAAATCATAATCGACGATGAGTTGTCAAATTCATCAACACAGACGTCACACACGCAATAAGTGATTATAAATGCTCAAATACCATTAGATGCCCTCTGCTGCTAGCTGGTCCATGTTACCTAAATCAGTCTATAAATAATTCAATCTAGGAGTATAAATCTAAGTCAAACAATTTTAATAATTAATGTTTTGGTAAAAGCAAAAGGAGAAGATTAAAGACAACAGAGGAAGACTAGAAAGAGAAAGCTATTAAGAATAAGAAAGTAGGACCAGGACACAATTCAAAACGGCTTGAGTTTGGAAAGCGGGTTAATTAGAATATCAGACGCTGGCAAGACAAGACATAACTTTGGCTAGAATTATAGAAAGCTTTATATGAATTGTGAGTTAGAGTCTTATTCCTTGAATAAATTTATGGATAATTTATTACCTATTAGAGACAAATATATAAAACCCAAATTTACACTCTGCTTATTACCAAAATCATAGCTTCGATATTTAAAGAAATGTACTACATCAAGTAGGCTAATAACTAATCAATGCAATTTTATAACGATACTGGAAAGATGATTTGGTATTACTTTGTGGTATGCTAGTGCTTTCTTTGACCAGACGACAGCGACTTTTAATGCCGTTTCATGTGGTGGGAATCAGACTAAAGGAGACCTCTACATTTACTTCATCTGTGCAACAAGTGGTAATGAATCTTCAAACGGCAGCACCAACCATCACCGGCTTTCATGCAGCTACCAAAACCCAAATGCCGAATAATGATCCAATTATATATGCCTTTGCTCAATGTATTGAAACTGTCACACAGAGTGGTTGCTCCAATTGCTTAAACGCTGCGTCTAGCAATATGCCAACTTGTCTTCCCAATTCAGATGGTAAGGCTTTTGGTGATGGGTGTTTCATGAGATACTCCACCACTTCCTTCTTTCCTGATAACCAGACCATCTCTATCACACCCTTGAAGAAACAAGCTACGTACGCTTCATTATTTAAAGGTTTCAATTTAACACAGATACTATAAATTCAATCTTCTTATGTATGAATGTAAATCTCCTGCTTACATATGAGTCATATATATCTCATATTAGCATACCTGTCTAATAAAAAGTTGTCTTATGAAGGCATATTTAACTAACAAGAAACTGCTGACTCATTTGAAAATGCAATGGATCTCTCTTTTCTACTATATGTGCAGGTTCAAGCAAGAAAGGGTATATTATTGGTGATGTTGTTGGAGGTGTAGCTTTTCTTCTGATCCTTTTTGCTTTATTTGCCTGGTTCAAACGACCAAAAATTTCCAAGAGAGTTCGTACAGGTAAATTACTTGGAAAGTCTCCAGCAATTATATACATTTGCCAATATAAGGAGATACATTGGCTTTCACTTTTTCCATGAAAGAATGTAGACTTCCATCTCTCTGATGAGAACAATTCCTAACTAGTTTTATTTTAAAAACAAATATATATTGATATTGACCAATTCCTAACTAGTTTTATTTTAAAAACAAATGAAAAATATATATTGACCGATGTTCTCCTGAACAGGAGAGATACCTGGAGCAAGCAAGTTAAACCGCCTAGTTACTTACAGTTACAAGGATTTGAAGTTGGCAACCAAGAAATTTAGAGAAGAAAATAAACTCGGAGAAGGAGGGTTTGGTGTTGTATACAAGGTAACTTTACTTTGATTTTCAGCATATTTACGTATTCAGAAAAACACTTTCATGATCAAAATTCTTATATCATCATTTTGTCTTGACTAGGGTACTCTGAAAAGTAGGAAGGTAGTTGCAATCAAGAAATTAAATTTTCGCCAATTCACAAGGATGGAGGAAGAGTTTGAGAGTGAAGTGAAGTTGATAAGTAATGCTCATCATCTAAATCTTGTTCGACTTCTATGATGTTGCAGTGAAGGACAAAACAGAATTCTTGTTTATGAATACATGAAAAATAATAGTCTTGACAGGTACCTGTTTGGTAAGTTCCTATCAACACACAATAATGATGTCTTGGTTTTCAAGTAGTAGTTATTATAATTATTCATAACTTTTTGAGGTGGATATATGATTTTTTTTTTTTTTAAGTTAACCACGTATCATTGACGCCCTTAAGAAAAATTAGTCACGTCATAATCTTATTGAAGGACTTGGTAATCTTCTAGATCTTTCTGCAGTTGAAACAGAGGATGACTTTTATGTAAGCCCCTCCTCTTTAATCATTCCCTTCAAATTAATTTGTCTAAATTTGGAAAATAGGTAAAGAGAAGGGTTCTCTCAACTGGAAGCAAAGGTGTAACATAATTTTAGGAACAGCAAAAGGGTTGGCTTATCTACATGAGGAGTTTAATATTTGTATGATACATAGAGATATAAAGACAAACAACATCCTTTTAGATGATAATCTACAGCCTAAAATTACTGATTTTGGATTGGCGAGACTTTTGCCTGAGGACAAATCTCATCTTAGCACAAAATTTGCAGAAACATTGTAAGTTGACATAAAATTTGTTTAATTTTCTAAACCTCTACTATTGTTTATAAATTATTGAAGATAAAATCTATGTACAAGTCAATGGAACACTCCTATCACTCCTCTAAATAGTTTTAATTTTTTTTTCCTTTTCATATAACATGAATGGTTCAAAAAATCTTTTGTATTGATGTGGTACATGCTGCATTCCTTTTATGTTGCATATCTACATTTCATACTCTCATGGTTTCTTAATATTTGAAAAACGATTGCTCATATAAATGTTTTCTTAATATTTACGTGTTTGTGGTTTAGACAATTGTTCTAATAGTTGTAATTTAATATTGTGCATTTGTCAAAGGATACACAGCACCTGAATATCTTATTCATGGCCAATTATCAGAAAAAGCTGATATCTATAGTTATGGTGTTGTAGTCTTAGAAATCATTAGTGGTCAACAAAGTAAAGAATTAACCATCAATGGTGATTATGAGGGTGAATTCCTTCTTCAAAAGGTAAGAAAAATTCTAAAAATTTTCCAAAATGCAAATTTTTTTTAATAGAAAATTTAGATTCAAGACTTCTTTAACAAACTTAGTTTAACTCTTTCTGCTAAAGCTATTAGTTCCTTCTTTGAGAATTAAAAATAAATATTTGAGAAAATATTAACCTTTGTTCTGCTCTGCCTGTTATATCCCATCTTATGTCACTTAACTTTAACTGTCAATTGTTAGGCTTGGAAATTATATGAGAGAGATATGCACCTAGAGTTGGTGGACAAAACCTTAAGCCCTTTTGACTATGATGAAGACGAAGTGAAGAAAATGATAGGGATTGGTTTGGTTTGCACGCAAGCATCTACAGAAGGAAGGCCAATGATGTCTAAAGTAGTTGTTTTGCTCCAAAACAAGGATTTGTTAGAGAATAGGAAGCCCACTATGCCTATCTTGATTGAAACTAATTAAAGGTATATGGAAATACTTCCTCTAATCACACACACACACACACACACACACACACACACACACACACGCACGAGGCATTTTTTAAACCTTTTTTTTTGTTCCCTTTTATTAGTCACTTTATAAGATTGTTGGAGCATTATATATTTTTCATTTATGCCTTGTAATGGAGATCATGATGTAGATATAGTAAAAGAAGGTAAAAATTAATATGATATAGTGGAATTTAGTGTAGTTAATAATAATATTGAAAATTATATTAATTTTATGGCAATTTTAATGCTTCTTTTTGTATGCATAAATTAGGTAAAATTGACTTACATTTAGAATCGAAGAAGTATATTTCTATCTATACTATATTTTTAAATCCAATACTAGTAGTGCCTTGAATTATGTAATATGATAAGCATGATAATTTTACCTTTCAAGAATGTGGAGTACGATATGGATGACATAGAATTAATTACCATTGGTGGAGTATAGTTGTTGAATATGGAGTAATGGGAAGCTTCTGGGATTTCAATCCAACTACTGGGTGCAAAATGTGTAAGCCTACATTAGCACGAGTTCATGAGCTGTATTATCAAAGTTCCTTGGTAAGTACTTAAAAGATATTTCCCTAATTCAAGTATCCAACTGAACTAAGTCCCTTAAAAAAGACTTAATAATTGAAATTCTCCTTTTATTTTAATAATGACTAATTTTAATTTATTTACGGCCTTTTATTTTAGGTGCATTGAGGGGGTTTAAATGTTACCATTTCAACATGCATCTCAGGCAAAGTATCTTTTACTCGTGATGCAAATGCAATGCACAAAATAAATAATAACTTCAAAGTTTCCGAAAAATTGTACGTCGATCTAACTAACTTCCTCCCACACCCTCGTCTTTTAATTTAACGTTTAAGCCTTACTAAAAAGTGAAGAAAAAGATTAATTAAATGAATGAAAATTTAGCGTCCAATAAAATATGTTTAACAGATTAAAAGAAGGAAGTACCCATGATTCAAATAAATACTACTTGTTAAGACATCCAGGAGTCAAACTCTCTAATCATGTAAGTTAAAGAAAGTGCATCTATGAATATAATTTAAGGAAGAAAAAGGGATAATTTCATCATCTTTTTTTTTTTGAAAAAAAAACTTTTTTAACTCTCAATATCTCTGTTGCCTAGTGAATACTGACCACGACACTTCATAAAATTCAAAATAAATCCAATTCTCTATCATTACATTTTGCGGTAGTGGAAGTTGACTTCGTCTTTTCAAATATCATTCCTTTTTTGCATAATTATTTTTTACAAGATAAGTTGCACACATTTAAAAAAAGCTACACACATTAGAGATAAGTTACACACATTCTATTTTATAGACAGAATGAAAGACCTTTGCACATATATAACTGAAAATATGTTTCATAATGAGTTACGCCTGCATATATAAATATTTTAAATACTTTTAAGCTATAAATATTTTAATGGGGATTTTAGAGAAAATAGTGTTCAGACAAATTTTAGATACCGTTAGGTAATAAATATTTCAATATATTTTTTTTAGCAATTTTCTCCACAAAAAAAGTACATATTTTCCTATGTACGGACCACACCTTATCGAAACCGATCCAGTCAATTGACTCAGTTATATCCAAATAGTATTCAAGTGAGTGTAACAAAAGAGCACCACAAGATTGATCGGAAGGACAATAATGTGCCACGTCGATAACGAAACTACAAAAGAACGCGTCTCCCCTCTGACCCGGCAAATGCTTGGATAATTGGACCCGCTTTCTTTTTCTTTGACCTGAAAACGACAACGCTTTCACAGTCCAAGCATAAAACACCGAACAGCCCCAAAACAGAAACTTGCATTCTGTGCTCATGAACGGCTAGTGCTCATCCTGAAATCTCCGCCACTCACATTGAATTTGTATGATTCACATTTAATTTAATTTTATTATTTTGATTTTATTGTTTTATTATTTTAATGAGTGTACAATTCAGTTGGCAAAAAGAAGTGTGCAATCTAAAAATAAAAAGACTATTTTCCAATTGTCAGCACATTTTCAAAAAAATAAATTTATTATTTAAAAATATCAAATTTAAAGCTTTAAATATCATCATACAAAATATGGACCCGTATAAAAAAATATAATAAGAGGAAAATTCATCTTCACACTGCATGCATCAACACTGCCATGGCCAATTCCCTGTAATAGTGGCCATACGAATAGATGTCCAAAGACTGGTTCGGTTGAGCTCAACCTTTCTATTACCTAGGGATAAGTAAAATCAAACTGTAACTGAAAACCAAACTGAACCGAACTGAATTCAATTTTGATTTTTTGATTCAGTTATTTCGGTTTTTGGTTATATATTTGATTTTTATTTTTTTTAACAATTCAATTTCGATATTCAGTTTGGTCAGTAGAAAAAAATTTTGAGTTATAACCGAAAAACAGAAATAAATATATCATATTTTTATATTTAATAAATATTATTATAATAAATATATGTGTGAGTATATGTGAACTTTTTAAATATATTTATATTCAATAAATATGGTTATAATAAATCAGATTGAATGATTAAATATTTATTAATTAATAGTTGTAATTGTGTTTTATTATTATTTTAATTTAAACTTGTACCAGGTAAAAAGAAAGGTTCTCTCAGCTGGAAACAACGATATGATATAATTTTAGGAACAGCAAGAGGATTAGCTTATCTACATGAAGAATTTCATATTTGTATCATACATAGAGACATAAAAACTAACAACATCCTCCTAGATGGTGACATGTAACCTAGAATTGCCGATTTTGGATTGGCAAAGTTTTTATCAGAGGGCAAATCTCATCTCGGCACAAATTTTGCAGATTGTAAGTTGTAATGCTTGCATTTTATACCTTGTATTATATATACAGGAATCAGAGCTGGAGGTCACCGAAAGAATTATTGAAACAATATATATATTAGTCTATAGAACACTCCTCTAACACCTATAAATAGTTTAATCGATTATTTTTCTTCCATGTATATAGCATGAAAATGTGTTGCAATTCTTTCTGTTGCATATATATATATTTCAGATATTGCTAACATGTTTGTGTTTGAGCCATTATTTTGATCAATTTAAAAATGTTATGCATTTGTCAGAGGTTATACAGCACCTGAGTATGTAATACATGGCCAATTATCAGAGAAAGTTGATATATATAGCTATGGTGTTGTAGTTTTGGAAATTATAAGTGGTAGAAAAAGTGAAGAATTAAGAGTTGATGGTGATGCAGAGGGCGAATTCCTCTTTCAGAAGGTAACAAAATTTGTATATCAATTTACATGGGCAATTATTTTTAGAGTTAATTTTTTACTTCCAAATTATTGTTTGTAATTTTTGTAAAATTACAAATACATACCCTACAAAAAATGAATACCAAGTGAGTCCCAAAAAATTTCGATTTATTGTAATTTTTGGGACCTGATTGGTAGTAATTTTTTTCATGCAGTACCTATTTGTAATTTTAATGGAAGGGAAACATTATTGCTCTTGATAAGTTAAAATATTCAACGCCCTTGAATATTAATTTAAGGGCAAAAATGTCCTTTAAACTATATTTTTACACACAAATTTAGACAAAGCACAATTTTAATAAGAGTAAATGTGCAATTTTACCATTTCTTATGTATACCCAACACTTTGATCTTTTAAATGGTGCAATTTTACCGATGATTTTATTTTTTTAGTAATTCAACACCTTGATGTTATTTTTTTAAGTTTCATCTAGCATCCTAATTTTATCTTTTTTACAATAACATTCAGCACTTTAACTTATAATGCATTCAGCGTCCTAAGTTTTATATTACCTTTTTCTTACAACACGTAACATAAGTTTCACATTGCCTTTTCTAACCCTATATCTTTGCATTTCATTTGAATCCCACTTATTAGGCGTGGAAACTATATGAGAGAGGCATGCACTTAGAGTTGGTGGATAGTGCCTTAGACCCTAACGAGTATGATGTGGAAGAAGTGAAGAAAATCATAGAAATTGGTTTGCTCTGCACTCTAGCGTCTCCTACAATAAGGCCAACAATGTCTTATTAGAGAACATAAGACCAACTATGCCTATCTTGATTGAAACTAACTAAAAGCACATGGAGAAACCTCTACCACTTTCTCTTCCTCTATGTCCAACGCCTTGAGTTCTATACCGTCAGCATAGTAACAGGATTTTTCAGGGATGTGTAATTATGAGTGACTTCGAGTTTTGAATCAAAAAGTGGAAAAAGCAATAACATGAAAGGAGGAGAAAATAGAAAATCAATGCCCTTCATTCCCTATTCTAACATATGTGAATTACAATGTACAATTTTTAGCGAATCATATATTAATCTTTCATTGTTCTTTAAATTTTAAAAGTGATACCAAAATTCCAATTTAATTTCATTTTTAATTAATGAAGTTAAAGTTTGGAAAAATCCCAAAAAAAAACAACTGTTGAATTTTAAAATTTTAAATTAAGAATTACTACAAAAATGTATTGTCATTTGCTTTTCAAATGTAGCTATTTTTTTACGAGTGTAATAACTAATATTGATTTAAAATTTTAAAATTCAACAATCACTTTTTGGAGTTTTTTTTTTTTCAAGTTTTCTACGTGATATGACCATTTTAGTGAATTTACATGCTTGTTTTTGTCTTGACGGTCACGTTAAGAGTGAAAATGGAAATCCGATAGATGTCATAGAATATCAACTGAGAATATAAAGGTTGAGTGCCGAAAATTCTTTTTATTAGCTCATTTTAAGAAAGTGATAACTAATTATTTAGTTGAATTAATAAAATAGATAAGTAAAATATTTTTGTTATATATTAATATTTCACTCTTCATTAATAAAAAAAGAAGTAATATTTTTAATATTCAAATCCCCACTAGAAAAAATACCTATATTTAATTCCTGACAATGCTTCAAAGAGAATTATTTATGCTTTGACAAAAAAAATCCAATATCCTCGTTGGCCCAAAAAAAAAGGGATACAGTATCCTTCCAGGGGCCCGACGTCAACCCCGGCCCACATTATGACGACGGACCCCAGTATCACGTGATGACTTCATTTTTCAATTGACTCCAAAATTCGTATATTACTGCACAAGCCATGGGAACACACCGTCAACACATTTTGGTGAGAGGCGGTGAAACTTGGTTTCTTCCCTTGTCCTTTCCTTTGGAATGGTCACCATTTGCCCCATTGGGACCAGCGACGACGCCCACTGATCAATCACCATCCTTTATCACTATATGTGTGTGTGGGTGTTAAAAGATCAGACATCAAAATCAAATTAAAGTGAGGGGGAAACTGTATAATTTACTGTGTACAATAACCCCACGTTACGGATGATTTTACGAAATAGGAGGAAACTGAGGGAAAGAAAACGATGACCAAATGTGTTGAAACAGCTGATCAGATGCCTCTGATCTTAAGCCACATGGCTATCTTCGATTTCCCTTAAATGTATCAGTTTCTTTCTTCCTCATTAATTCTGTGATATCATTCTCCTCTTCAAACACCAATCTCTAATCTCTCATATAGTTCATACATCGCCAGATCCAACTTGACCTCTCTTTCCTTCTTCCTCTTCATTATTCTGTCCACCTGCAGCCAACCTCTACACACACGCATATAGACATAAAACATGCTTCTTCAACCTATTTTCCTTTCTGTAATCTCCTTCGTATTCTGGTCGCGTTGGACACTTCACGGCGTCGTTTCGGATCCACAGGCCAATCTTATGTACACCCGCTGCTCACCATCTGCCAACCAAGTGGTCTTGCCCAACTTATCCATCTTCCATGAAAACGTAAACGCAACGTTTCGAGAGATCAAAGAGAATATCGTCTCTGAGAACAAGTACTTGGCGACGGCAAGGAAAGCCAACGCAGAAAACCCTGTTTCCACACTTTTTCAGTGTAGAAACTATATCTCCATTCCCGACTGTGTCGCCTGCTTCGACGTCGCAGCCCGGCAAGTCCGTAAGTGTCCTCCGGCGGCACAAGGTGCCGGCGTTGTCTTCGATGGCTGCTTCCTCAGGTACAAGTCGTCCGCAAATGAAGCTCCAGTTTGACCTTCCAATTTTGAATAGAAATTAAGCTCCATTTGACCTTCCTATGTGGAGATGATTTTTTTTTTACTTGGGGGCGGGGGTATAGTCATATAGATAAGATATTTATTCATTTTGATAACCGAGGGAGTGGTTTGTGTGGTTTACATTGATATATGCTAATTAAATAGTAGAGAAAATAAAGAAAATAAATTTTAGTTATTACTCCCCGTTTTTAGTGTAGGATTTAATTTGTAGTTCAAATTGAATTAGAAACTAAATCTTACTAGTATATTATAACTTAGATATATTTTTTGTTGAAGGTGTGATACTAAAGTTAGCACAGACAGCATACAAAGATAAATAAATGTAGTTGATGATAAGAAATTTCCAAATTTTAAAATTGTTTTAATTAGCAAAAATTTTAATTGCATTAAAATAATATAAAATTAAAAGTTGTTTGAGCCCAAAATAAAAACACTTTTTTATATACTCGTCAATTGATCAACCCCAATTACAAACATCTTATTAGAATTCACAACTTTATTGCAATAAATCTACCCCTACCTTTGATCCTAGTCATTTAGAAATGACCAGGGTGAGATTCTCCCATAATATCTACATTACATAAGGTTGGATACCCGTGAGAAAGGACATTAGTTAAAACTGATCCACTAGAAGGTTACAGAAAATTCCTTACATTCTCTGAATCCACAGTCCACATAAATAGCTGAAAAAATAATGCAGCCTTCAATCATTGTGGCCACCTATCTAGACCTTGGTGCTCATTCATAGAACTAATCGTAGGTCTCTTAACCAGCCTGAATCTACCTGGTATATAAAAAAAAACTTAATTTTATATGTTGTGATTTTAGGTCTCTTCTGGAACATTGTTAGAGACAATATGTATATTAAGTTGCTCATATTTCTTATGTCAAGGTCTTTAATTATATATAACAATATGTGTCCTGTTTTTTGAATTGAATGTTAATATTTCAAAAATAAAACACATAGCCATGGCATAATGAATATTAAAAACTTGTTCTAAAGTTTTTTCTTTTGGTTAAAATTATGACTTATTCTCCAAAAGTTGATTCAAGCACACCCCCAATCCATTTAGAAATATCATCCTATTAGTTTGGCATGTAAATAAGATAACCCTTACTAATCCTGGAAAATTGATATGTTACGTTATACATTTTGTTAATTGAGGTACGAGACCAATGCCTTCTTTTGGAAGACAACGGAGGATTTCACTGCCGTATCATGTGGAAATCAAACTGTAGGAGAATCCATTACATTATTTACCTCACTTGTGCAACAACTGCTGAAGAATCTGCAAACAACAACACCCAAAAAGCAAGGGTTTTTTGCAGCCACAAAGATAGAATTGCCTGATAATAATGGTACAACTGTTTATGGCTTTGCTCAATGTATTGAAACTGTCACTCCAAACGGCTGTTTCAATTGCTTGAACACTGGATATGACAATATTATGGCCACTTGTCTTCCCAATTCGGATGGTAGGGCTTATGCTGATGGATGTTTCATGAGATACTCCACCTCTTCCTTCTTTCCACATTATTAACCAGCCCATTGATATTACTTCCTTGGGCAAACAAGGTATGGCTCTTGAAAGATTTTAAATATATATATATAAATAATATTATTGCAGCATGACATTTGATTTGCTTGTGTACTAAAACCCCAGCATCGATTAAGGGATTTTATTATAAATAAAATTACACACAGAATTGCAAACATTGAGAATTCTCTAAGGGTTCATGCAACTTTTTTATTCTTTCAATCTTTTCCCACTATTTTATTAGGTTCCATTTGAATTTTTTCATTTATCCAATATTGGAAAAATTTAGTACAATCTTTCATAATTTTTATAATTATTATCTATTGTGCTCATCGTGAAGATATCTAGTTGTGAACATTTATCTTTTAAACTACCTGTTTCTCTCATCGAAAACGATATAAGTGCCAATATTGATATTGACATATGTCTTTTTTACCGATAAAACGTTATTGATATGTGTTATTTCTTTGTACTTTTTAGAGGAACATTTAATATGCAAAAATTATGACTTATTTGAAAACGAGTTATCTAGTCTTGTCTTGTAGGTTCAAGTAAAAAGGGGGGCCGTCATCGGGGGAGTTGTTGGAGGATTTACTCTTGTTATGATCCTCATGATATTATTTATCTGTATTAGACGATCAAAATACTCGAAGAGAATTCACAGAGGTAGACATACTTTCATCTCTATGAAGGGATGGATCCTAATTGGTTATTTCAGTTTATGAAGATACTTTGACAAGTGTTCTTCTTATCAATAGGGGGCATCACTATTGCAACTATGTCGAAAGGCCTGATTTCTTACAGTTATAAGGATTTGAAGTTGGCAACCAAGAATTTTAGGGAAGAAAATAAACTGGGAGAAGGAGGGTTTGGTGTTGTATACAAGGTAACTTGATTTTTAGCATATTTACATATTCACACACAACACTTTTATGATCAAAATTCTTATATCATTTTGTCTTTACTAGGGTACTCTGGAAGGTGGGAAAGTAGTTGCAGTCAAGAAATTAAATTTTCGCCAATTCACAAGGATGGAGGAAGAGTTTGAGAGTGAAGTGAAGTTGATAAGTAATGTTCATCATCTAAATCTTGTTCGACTTCTAGGATGTTGCAGTGAAGGACAAAACAGAATTCTTGTTTATGATATATGAAAAATAATAGTCTTGACAGGCACCTATTTGGTAAGTTCCTATCAACGCACAATAATGAAGTCTTGGTTTTCAAGTAGTAGTTATTATAATTATTCATACATAACTTTTTGAGGTGGATATTATTTTTTTTTTTTTTTACTTAACCACATATCATTGACGCCCTTAAGAAAAGTTACTCACGTCATAATCTTATTGAAGGACTTGGTAATCTTCTAGATCTATTTGGAGTTGAAACAGAGGATGACTTTTATGTAAGCCCCTACTCTTTAATCATTCCCTTCAAATTAATTTTTGTAATTTGGAAAATAGGTAAGGGAAGGGTTCTCTCAACTGGAAGCAAAGGTGTAACATAATTTTAGGAACAGCAAAAGGGTTGGCTTATCTACATGAGGAGTTTCATGTTCGTATCATACATAGAGATATAAAGACTAACAACATCCTTTTAGATGATAATTTACAGCCTAAAATTGCTGATTTTGGATTGGCGAGGCTTTTGCCTGAGGACAAATCTCATCTCAGCACAAATTTGCAGGAACATTGTAAGTCAACATAATTTGTTTACTTTTCTAAACCTCTACTACTGTATATAATTATTGAAGATAAAATCTATGTACAAGTCAATGCAGCACTCCTATCACTCCTCTAAATAGTTTTAAACATTTTTTATTTTTTTTCTTTCATATAACATGAATGCTTCAAGAAATCATTTGTATTGATGTGGGACATGCTCCATTCCTTTTATGTTGCATATCTCCATTTCATACTCTCATGGTTTCCTAATACTTGAAAAGCGATTGCTCATATAATGGTTTCTTAATACTTGCGTGTATGTGTTTTAGACAATGTTGTAATAATTGTAATTTAATATTTGCATTTGTCAGAGGATACACAGCACCTGAATATCTTATTCATGGCCAATTATCAGAGAAAGTTGATATCTATAGTTATGGTGTTGTAGTCTTAGAAATCATTAGTGGTCGACAAAGTAAGAATTAACCATCGATGGTGATGATGAGGGTCAATTCCTCCTTCAAATGGTAAGAAAAATTCTAGAAATTTTCTAAAATGCAATTTTTTTTAAAAGAAAATTTAGATTCAAGAATTCTTTAACAAACTTAGTTTAACTCTTTCTGGTAAAGCTATTAGTTCCTTCTTTGAGAATTAAAAATAAATATTTGAGAAAACATTAACCTCTACTTTGCTCTACCTGTTGTACCCCATTATTTCATTTAACTTTAATTGTCAATTATTGTTAGGCTTGGAAATTATATGAGAGAGATATGCACCTAGAGTTGGTGGACAAAACCTTAAGCCCTTTTGACTATGATGAAGAAGAAGTGAAGAAAGATAGAGATTGGTTTGCTTTGCACTCAAGCATCTACAGAAGGAAGGCCAATGATGTCTGAAGTAGTTGTTTTGCTCCAAAACAAGGATTTGTTAGAGAATAGGAGCCCACTATGCCTATCTTGATTGAAACTAATTAAAGGTATATGGAAATACTTCCTTTAATCACCCCCCACACACACACCCACACACACACGAGGCATTTTTTAAACCTTTTTTTTTTGTTCCCTTTATTAGTCACTTTATAAGATTGTTGGAGCATTATATATTTTTCATTTATGCCTTGTAATGGAGACCATGATGTAGATTGGTAAAAGAAGGTAAAAATAATGTGATATAGTGGAATTTAGTGTAGTTAATAATAATATTGAAAATTATATTAACTTTAATGCTTCTTTTTGTATGCATAAATTAGTTAAATTGACTTACATTTAGAATCGAAGAAGTATGTTTTCTATCTATGCTATTTTTTTTTTAAATCCATGCTAGTAATGCCTTGAATTATGTAATATGATCAGCATGATAATTTTACCTTTCCAGAATGTGGAGTACGATACGGATGACATAGAATTAATTACCAATGGTGGAGTATAGTTGTTGAATATGGAGTAATCGGAAGCTTCTAGCATTTCAATCCAACTACTAGGTGCAAAATGTGTAAGCCTACGTTAGCACGAGTTCATGAGCTGTATTATCAAAGTTCCTTGGTACGTACTTAAAAAGAAATTTCCCTAATTCAAGTATCCAACTGAACTAAGTCCCTTAAAAAAGACTAATAATTGAATTCTCCTTTTATTTTATATAAATGACTAATTTTAATTTTTTACGGCCCTTTTATTTTAGGTGCATTGAAGGGGTTTAAATGTTACCATTTCAACATGCATCTCAGGCAAAGTATCTTTTACTCGTGATGCAAATGCAATGCACAAAATAAATAATACTTCAAAGTTTCCCGAAAAATGTACTTCGATCTAACTAACTTCCTCCCACACCCTCGTCTTTTAATTTAACGTTTAAGAGCCTTACTAAAAAGTGAAGAAAAAGATTAATTAAACGAATGAAAATTTAGCGTCCAATAAAATATGTTTAACAGATTAAAAGAAGGAAGTACCCATGATTCAAATAAATACTACTTGTTAAGACATCCAGGAGTCAAACTCTCTAATCATGTAAGTTAAAGAAAGTGCATCTATGAATATAATTTAAGGAAGAAAAAGGGATAATTTCATCTCCTTCTTTTTTTTTTTTTTGAAAAAAACTTTTTTTACTACTTCAATATCTCTATGCTGCCTAGTGCCTACTGACCAGGACACTTCATAAAATTCAAAATAAATTCAATTCTGTATCATTACATTCTGCAGTAGTGCAAGTTGACTTCGTCTTTTCAAATATCATTCCTTTTTTTGCATAATTATTTTTTACAAGATACGTTGCACACACTTTAAAAAAAGCTACACACATTAGACATAAGTTACACACATTCTATTTTATAGACAGAATGAAAGACCTTTTTGCACATATATAACTGAAAATATGTTTCATATTGAGTTACGCCTGCATATATAATATTTTAATACTTTTAAGCTATAAATATTTTAATGGGGATTTTTGAGAAAATAGTGTTACAAATTTTAGATACCTTTAGGTAATAAATATTTTTCAATAGATTTTTTTATAGAAAGCAATTTTCTCAAAAAAAGTATATATTTTCCTATGTACGGACCGCACCTTATCGAAACCGAGCCAGTCCATTGACTCAGCTATATCCATATAGTATTTAAGTGAGTGTAACCAAAGAGCACCGCAAGATTGATCGGAAGGATAATAATGTGCCACGTCGATAACGAAACTACAAAAAGAACGCGTCTTCCCTCTGACCAGGCAAATGCTTGGATAATTGGACGCGCTTTTCTTTTCTTTGACCTGAAAACGACAACGCTTTCACAGTCCAAGCATAAAACACCGAACAGCCACAAAAGAGAAATTTGCATTTTGTGCTCATGAACGGCTAGTGCTCATCCTGAAATCTCCACCACCACTCCATTGAATTTGTATGATTCACATTTAATTTAATTTTTATTTGATTTTATTGTCTTATTTTTTAATGAGTGTGTACAATTCAGTTGGCAAAAAGAAGGGTGCAATCTAAAAATAAAAAGTTATTTTCCAATTGTCAGCACATTTTAAAAAAAAAATAAATTTATTATTTAAAAATATCAAATTGAAAGCTTTAAATATCATCATACAAAATGGACCCATATAACAAAATGTAATAAGAGGAAATTCATCTTCACGCTGCATGCATCAACACTGCCATGGCCAATTCCCCTGTAATAGTGGCCATACGAATAGATGTCCAAAGACTCGTTCGGTGGAGCTCAACCCTTCTATTATCTAGGAGTAAGCAAAACCGAACCGTAACTGAAAACTAAACTGAACCAAACCAAATTCAATTTCGATTTTTTGGTTCAGTTATTTCGGTTTTTGGTTTATATTTGGTTTTTATTTTTTTTAACAATTCAGTTTTGATGTTCGGTTTGGTTAGTAAAAAAAATTTCGGTTATAACAAAAAATAAATATATTATATTTTTATATTTAATAAATATTATTATAATAAATATATGTGTGAGTATATGTGAACTTTTTAATATATTTATATTCAATAAATATGGTTATAATAAATATTATTATAATAAATCACATTGAATGATGAAATATTTATTATGTAATTGTGTTTTATTATTATTTTTAATTTAAACTTGTACCAGGTAAAAGAAAGGTCCTCTCAGCTGGAAACAACGATATGATATAATTTTAGGAACAGCAAGGAGATTAGCTTATCTACACGAGGAATTTCATATTTGTATCATACATAGAGACATAAAAACTAACAACATCCTCCTAGATGATGACATGCAACCTAGAATTGCCGATTTTGGATTGGCAAGGTTTTTTATCAGAGGGCAAATCTCATCTCAACGCAAATTTTGCAGGAACATTGTAAGTTGTAATGCTTGCATTTTATACCTTGTATTATATATACAGGAATCAGAGCTGGAAGTCACCGAAAGAATTATTGAAACAATATATATATTAGTCTATAGAACACCCTCTAACACCTATAAATAGTTTAATCGATTATTTTTCTTCCATGTATATAGCATGAAAATTTGTTGCAATTCTTTCTGTTGCATATATATATATATATATATATTTCAGATATTGCTAACATGTTTGTGTTTGAGCCATTATTTTGATCAATTTAAAAATGTTATGCATTTCTCAAAGGTTATGCTGCATCTGAGTATGTAATACATAGCCAATTATCAGAGAAAGTTGATATATATAGCTATGGCGTTGTAGTTTTGGAAATTATAAGTGTTAGAAAAAGTGAAGAATTAAGAGTTGATGGTGATGCAGAGGGCGAATTCCTCCTTCAGAAGGTAACAAAATTTGTATATCAATTTACATGGGCAATTATTTTTAGAGTTAATTTTTTACTTCCAAATTATTCTTTGTAATTTTTGTAAAATTACAAATACATACCCTACAAAAAATGAATACCAAGTGAGTCCCAAAAATTTCGATTTATTGTAATTTTTGGGACCTGATTGGTAGTAATTTTTTTCATGCAGTACCTATTTGTAATTTTAATGGAGGGGAAACATTATTGCACTTGATAAGTTAAAATATTCAACGCCCTTGAATATTAATTTAAGGGCAAAAATGTCCTTTAAACTATATTTTTACACACAAATTTAGACAAAGCACAATTTTAATAAGAGTAAATGTGCAATTTTACCATTTCTTATGTATACCCAACACTTTGATCTTTTAAATGGTACAATTTTACCGATGATTTTATTTTTTTTTAGTAATTCAACACCTTGATGTTTTTTTTTGAAGTTTCATCTAGCACCCTAATTTTATCTTTTTTACAATAACATTCAGCACTTTAATTTATAATGCATTCAGCGTCCTAAGTTTTATATTACCTTTTTCTTACAACAAGTAACATAGGTTTCACATTGCCTTTTCTAACCCGATATCTTTGCATTTCATCTGAATCCCACTTATTAGGCGTGGAAACTATATCAGAGAGGCATGCACTTAGAGTCGGTGGATAGTGCCTTAGACTCTAACGAGTATGATGCAGAAGAAGTGAAGAAAATCATAGAAATTGGTTGCTCTGCACTCAAGCGTCTCCTACAATAAGGCCAACAATGTCTGAAGTTGTTGTTTTGTTGCAAAACAAGGGCTTATTAGAGAACACAAGACCAACTATGCCTATCTTGATTGAAACTAACTAAAAGCGCATGGAGAAACCTCTACCACTTTCTCTTCCTCTACGTCCAACGCCCTGAGTTCTATACCGTCAGCATAGTAACAGGATTTTTCAGGGATGTGTAATTATGAGTGACTTCGAGTTTTGAATCAAAAAGTGGAAAAAGCAATAACATGAAAGGAGGAGAAAATAGAAAATGAATGCCCTTCATTCCCTATTCTAACATGTGTGAATTACAATGTACAATTTTTAGCGAATCATATATTAATCTTTCATTGTTCTTTAAATTTTAAAAGTGATACCAAAATTCCAATTTAATTTCATTTTTAATTAATGAAGTTAAAGTTTGGAAAAATCCCAAAAAAACAACGGTTGAATTTTAAAATTTCAAATTAGGAATTACTACAAAAATGTATTTTTTTACTTTTCAAATGTAGTTATTTTTTTTACGAGTGTAGTAACTAATATTGATTTAAAATTTTAAAATTCAACAATCACTTTTTGGATTTTTTTTTTCAAGTTTTCTACTATGACCATTTTAGTGAATTTACATGCTTGTTTTTGTCTTGATGGTCACGTTAAGAGTGAAAATGGAAATCTGATAGATGTCAGAGAATATCAACTGAGAATATAAAGGTTGAGTGCCGAAAATTCTTTTTATTAGCTCATTTTAAGAAAGTGATAACTAATTATTTAGTTGAATTAATA